CTGCCAGTGGACATTTAGGCTGTTTCCATGTCTTGACTGTTGTGAATAGTGTTGCTGTGAACATTGCCTTTCATTTGGACGGAGATGAAGAGGAATTTAATTATTGGGTTGCAGTCCAGAAATCCAGTATTTCACGAAGCACAGAGACTTTGACAAAAAATTTAGAAATCTAGAATCTTTCTATATTCAGAAGCTTTGAATATTGTTTCAACTATAAACAAGAGAACCACAGTCCAGCCAGAGGTTTTTATTGACAAAGTGAAGCTTCAGCTAGGCACAGCAGTTCAAGTATTGAAAAGAATGAAGGTGCTGGAGAACAAAGTGAAATTAGAGTGGGTGGCACAGATTTGAGTAAAATATATCATTTTATTGGGAAAAAAGCAACTGTTGTCTTGCAAATCTCTACAAATCAGAAATATAAATACTGCTCACAATGACATAAAACTGAATCTGTAACTCAATCTGGTAAAAACTGAAAATAAAGTTTTGCTAAGTTAAGTGAAATGATGGAAGTTAATTAACTATCTAGATAAAATAAGATACTGAAACATTACTTACTGAACATAGGCTTCCTTTTACAAAGAAACTAAAGGTATTCAGGATTCAGTAAATATGTTTATGTCACACTGAAAATTTTTTTACTTAAAAACATATATTTTTAGAAATCATAGATAATATTTATGAGTTTTCCAGTCTACAGAATGTTAATGTAAAAGATAGCTCATAATTGCTGACTTCTTAGTTTTCACTAGAAGTTAAGGTTTCTAAAGGTCAAGAATTCTAATTAACGTATGTAATTAAAACTACTAGAATTAGTAAGGAAAACACCTTTGGATGAAATTTTAAAAGGCATAAAGACTAGAAATGCTTTCAATGCTTTTAAGGGAAAATAAACTGACTTTGTCCTAAAGCTGGTTATTGCTAAATGGGAAAAAAAATAAGAAACAAACTGATATGAATATTGAAATCTGAAGATGGTTTTTTGAGAAAAAATAATCTTTAGAAAAAAATTTCATGTGTGGTTGGGAGTGGCTAAGTAAGATTAAAATGAATTTAATTAAGAACATGAATTTTAATATTAAGGGTAAATATGAATTTTAATGTTAAATAAATATAATTAAGAACATGAGTTTTAATGTTAAAGGTGGGTTTTAATATTAAAGGTAATGTTTAAATAGTAAATATTTAATATTAAAATATTAAAGAATTTTGTTTTCTCTCTCTGCTAAGAAGACAAAATTTTCTTAAAATATTGATCTGCTTTTGATAACAGATTGCAAAATGTCTCTTTGCCTTTTAAGTGATCTGTTGTAAATTTCTGTGTTTTGCCTTTAAAATATTTTATTGTCACTTGGGTTAAGTGAGTGTATATTGTTTCACAGTAACCTATTATCCTACTTGACCAAGAGTTTTGAAACCTCTTGATACCTTTGACAAACTTCCCAAAGTCAAATTCAGTGAAGTTCTTTTGACCTCTAGGTGACTCTGAAATGTTTCGGAAGGCCTCTGAAACGTCTCAAACAGAGACACTAAACCAGCTAGCCTTATTTGGTGTGCTAATGGGTGATGCTAACCTTCTTAGGGTACATTTTACGTGTAAATTTTATTATATGACACGACTAAAATTTGAATGTGTTGGATATGTCCTGGCACAATGTTATCAGCCGTACTTCTAGCTATCAGCTTAAAATGCTGTATGTCACAAAAATAACCAAACTTCCTTGTCAATTATAGTCAGATCAATGTCATTTGAAGTCTTTAGTCAAAATAGAGAGTTATTGGTTTACTCTGAAGCTTTTTACAAAACTGAAGATCTTCAAGAAGATTCATTAAAAAGAACTTCCGACAAATACCAGTTTCTGATGATTTTTAGATCACAGTTGAACTGGGTAAAAAATTATAAAACTAATGGAAAACCCAATGGCTACATCCAGATCAAAAAAATTATTATGTGAGATTGAATGAACTGAGAAATATGATTTATAATTTTATGACTTTTGGCCTGAACCATGATTGGCTTTTATGTGCAAACGGCCAAGACTGAACAGGTATGACCTGTAGGAAGGACTTGTCCATGCAGTGGGGGTGCACAGAAGAAACTGCTCATTCCAGGTGTAGGAGACACAGCAGAGGAAAAGGATTATGAGGATCAGGAGCAGTGAGCCATCCAGCAGCTGATGGAAGGACTGGAGTAGAAGAGGGTGTGGGCGGTGGGGCCAGAAAGGCAGGTGGGACAAATCCTGAAGGGTCTGAGATGCAGCTGAGGGTCAGGCCCCTGGAGGGCAGACACTGGGAGCTGTGGAAGGTTGGAAGCAAGAGTACGATGGTGTCAGTGCTGCTGTGGGGGAGGTCATTGACACTGACCAGGTAGTTTGCAACCCAAGGCAAGCCTGATCCCCAGGTTAGTCCATTTGTCCTCAAGGGCAGAGAACACTGAGGTCACAAGAATTAAATGGAAACTGTGCCAGTGTGTCCATCTGACAAATCTTCACACACCCACAAAGAAAGGTCGGGCTGTTCCTTTTCTAGAACATGCAGAATAAGGCATATTTCACATTCTCATGAGCGGCTACAGACCAGATCAAGAAGAAGTTACAGTCTCCCATGTGTGACACTCGGAACAAGCTGTCATTGCTGCGGGGAGTGGCCAGCACCCTGCGTCCTTCTCAAGACACTCGGAGTCACTGTGGAATTTGTGGTGCATCTCACAGAATCAGCCAATACACGTGTCCCTCCAGCCCTTTTGTTTGACGACCATGTGCTGCCAGTAACAAAAGTCGCAGAGCCCAGAACCTCAGGCAGCCCCTTCAGGCTGAGCATGGCAGAGCCTGTTCGAGAAAGAACTGCTCCTGTGCTGTAGCCTGTCCCCCAGTGAGGGACAGCGAACCTCTGAGTTTGTCACAGAAGCTTCCCCAACCCTTACCCTGCCCAGGGGACTTCCAGCCTCCAGAACCGTGAGAAAATGCATGTCTGTGCTTAAGCCCCCGTCTGTGGTGTCCTGACATGGCAGCAGATGTAGACTAAACGCCAGTCGTGGCGGATACAACACCAGGAGACAGGCTACCAGGCTGTGAAGTTGGACAGTGTTGGTCCACACTGAGTGAAGAAGAGGTGGCAGGTGGAGGAAGAGGGATTCAAGCTGCAGAGAAGTAGGAAGGGGCCAGAGTGAAGGTGGTAGGTGAGGCCAGACAGTGTCCCCCAGGAGGCCCAGGGGACACTCCGGTTACCAAGCACCAGCATCAGCAACAAGCCCAGACACGGGGCGGCCCCTGTAGGACGGGGCTGATGGGAGCGGAGCCATTAGAGAAGTGGGCTCCCTGGTGGCACTGGAAGTCATGGGACGCAGAAAGGAGAGGCCAGGCGCCTGCTCGTAGCTGTCCGAAGCAAGGCCAGTGCAATTACTGTGACGCACATCAAAGCCAGCATGGCAGCGAGACGCACTCCAGGCAGTGGAGATGGTTGCTGGGATGCAGCGCTCCGAGGGCAGAGCAGCTGGACAGCTGGCGTGGGCGACCCTCAGTGTGTCCTCTCAGAAGCCACTGGGGATGCATGGGTTAGGAGACTGAGGGCAGCCACGGAGTGAAGAGCGAACCCTTTGCCCAGTATCCAGACCAGAGTCAGGCAAACCTCAATCCCATCGGCCTAAGGCTAGACCTTGTCCCTGCGAGGGAGGACTCCGCCAGAGTCCTCCGCTGGCCTGCCTCTCTCTCTCCAAGTGCTCTCAGGGCTTCTCCGCGTCTCCGTCCCACGTGGGCTGGCTTGGGCTTCCTCACAGCATGGCAGCTCCTGGCTCCACGCATGACTCCTCCTGTGAACAAGGCAAACCCTGCCTTGCCGCTTCTGACACAGGGCGTCTGCTCGACATTCTGTCGGTTACAAGTGAGCCACAAGCCCACTCAGCTCTAAAGGGAGAAGACACTGACCCCACATCTCAATGGGAGGGATGTCGAAGTCAAGTCAGGTCGGGGGTGGGGGGCAAGGAGGCAGATGGGACAGAGGAGAGAGGATGGGGACTTGCTTGGACATCATAGACTCAAACTGCATTTGCTGAGCGATGGACAAGGTGGCCAGAAGGGCCGGTGAGCCACGGCCCTGGCCAGGATAGAAAACTACAATCAGGTGTTTGTTTCTCAGGCAGAGCACCCCACACCGCAGATGCCCTGCTCCTGGGTCGGGGGCACAGAGGCAACTCCAGGCGACACCCTGGCCCCTGCAGACTGCACCGCTGTGACCACACCATCCTCCAGGAAGGAGACACTGGAGCTGTCATCTCGTGAGCGCTCACTCACTGCTCTCAGGTCCCCTGTGGCTATTTGCGGTTGGTCTGCTGAGACCCAGAGAGATTACGCAGCTAGCCGAGGTCATTACGGATGACCCAGCCCTAATTCTGAAGGTTTCGGTCGGTCTCGCTCCTCCAGTGGTTGTGTGACGTCAGTGAGTCACGTAGTGTTGGTAAAGGCCTGATCTCCTCCCTCGAACAGCGAGAACGATCCCTATTGAAGGGCCGGACTGTGGGCTCCACGCGGAGGAGAGGGTGTCAGCGCAGGCGCCCCAGTGGCGGCACTGCCCGCACTGAGTACTGAGGGTGAGGGAGGCCTCGAAGCCGAGGAGCCAGTCCAGAGGGAAGGGGCTGGGGACGGGCCGGGATGCCCAGCGGGAAACCCTCTAAGAGACAGAAATGAGCGGCAAGGGCCCTGGGCTGACGAAGGTCCTCCCAGACAGGAGGGAAGTCTGGCAGGCTTCCCTGAGGAGGTGGCACTTGGTATTTGCCTTAAAGGTGGCCAGGGACAGCCAGGAAACCGGAGCTGGGCGGGGAGTGCTGCAAGGCAGTGAGCAAGTGCCCCAGCCTGCACTGCTCAGGTGACAGCATCTACGTGGGTGTCACTCCTCCCTTGCTCCTTCCCACCCCCTCCTCCAAGGAGCAGGTCCCAGTCAGCTCCCGAGAGGCCAGGCCCTGCAGGCAGATTGGCGTCTGACAGCCCTGCCTGCTGGCCGCGAGGATGGGGCCGCTCAGCTGGCTGCCTCTGTTCCTGGTGCTGCTGTGGCCGCTGGGGGCCCTGGCCACGCTTCCAATCAGGGTGTTCGTGGTGCCCCACAGCCACATGGACGTGGGCTGGCTCCACACAGTACAGGTGGGTGCCCCGGGATGTCCCCTGCACACCTCTTGAGGATGAAGTCTCCTTCTTCCTGCAAAGTCCCTGGACCTCGCCCGCTGTGACCCTTGGGCTTGGCTGTGCGGTTGGCCATGTGGCCCTCACGGCCGGCCAACATGTCCCTCTGGGAAGCCATCCCTGCCACCTTGGTCCTGGCAGGTGCATCCCCCTGACTCATGGACTGCCATAGTCTGTTTCCTCACATCCCTGCCCAGGAGAGCATGTTCCCATCACAGGGGCCTGCCCTGTCCTGCTCCCAGTGCCCGCGCTCACCGTGTGTCTGGCGCAGAGTGGGACTGGGGCCCCCTTGTTTGAAGGGAACTGGGGGAGCAGAGGGAAGGGCCCCCAGACAGATGCAGCTGTGAGTGCCAGGGGCCCCCAGACACTCTTGTCACCTCTGGATTTTACTCCTTGGTCCCTGGGGCCGAACCCTCCAGAAGCCCCATGGGGCTGGAGTGATGGTGTCCCCCACCCCTAGGAGAGCATGCGGGCTTATGTCGCCAACGTCTACACCTCGGTGGCGGAGGAGCTGACCCTTAAGGAGCAGCGCAGGTTCATCGCCGTGGAGCAGGAGTTTTTCCGGCTGTGGTGGGATGGCATCGCCTCGCACAAGCAGAGACGCCAGGTACTGCTGTCCTGCAGGGTGTCCTTGAAGGGGCAACCGAGAGAAGAATGGCTTGGGTGTCCTGGTGATGACCCTTTAGGAAACTCCTGGGGCAGTGCGCTCTCTGGCCACGCTTGTGCTGCATAAACCTCAAGGCTTAAACTCTGCTGGGCTCTTTGCAGCGTGTGTTTAGACCAGTTTTGCGGTCAGCCCTGTGCCCGGGAGACAGCTTTGTGGTCTCATCCCGGCTGTGTGGCTACTGGAAAACTGCAGCTCTGGCAACCCACCAGACACTCAGCTGGCGTGAACCGAGTTCCCTTTGACACTGGGCACTCCCAGTGGCCCAGAGCCCACGCCCTCTTCCTTCGTTTCGGCACCTGAGTGACCCCCATGAGCACAGGAGCTGGCGGCCCTGCCGGGGGTGCAACAGTCCCTGTGGTCCCGAGGCCGGCAGCGGACTAGCTTCTCAGGTTGCAGGAGTCAGAGGCCCCGCTCAGCAGAGGGGCTGCCTGGGACCCGGTCCCGCTCCCCCACCTCCACGTGTGGTGAAGGCGGCGACTGGCCTCTGCCCCCTGCAGGCCCCACATCCGCGCGTGGGAGCGACCGCTCTTCTTAGGGAGGCTGCACCCGGAATGAACACATGATATGAGTTCACAGGACGATTCTCTGGGACTTGGTCCCCTCCAAGCATCCCCTTCGTTCGAAACAGGTTAGAGCCCCACGACTTGCTCAAGGTAGCAGAGCTCAGAAGGCAAAACAGGGAGTCCACCAGGTCCTCCTCCAGCGGGGGATGTGACCCTGCAGCCTTTGGCACCGAGAGGACGAGCCTCCCGTCCGATGGGCACTGCCTCCTGCCAGGCTCTGGGCTAGGACCTTCTACACATTACTTCATTGACTCCTCTCAACAGCCAGTACCCTGGGGACACTCAGCCTGCTGTACACAGTGGTCCAGGTTCAGAGAGGGCAGGCAACTGGCCAGGGACCACAGAGCTTGTATGAGACAAGTTGGACTCCATGCCAGATATTCTGATTTAAAGCGTGACTCTCCATGGTGTCCAGTGGATGGTCCTCACTTCTTTACATGGACACCCCCAAACTCAATTGCTTGTCATCCAGTTGTGACAAATGCAAACTGAAGGACGTTCTACAAAATAAGTAGCCTTAATCCTCAAATTTATTAATCACAGGAATGAAAAAGAAGGCTCAGGAAATTCATGAATACCATGAATTTGATAGTAGCATTATTAATTTCCAGATTTGGAGAATTATGGAACAGGAAGAATGATCTTGTTCTTGTCAAACACATACTGAACTGTGAAGATAAAGGCATGTTATTGTTAACTTTTACTTTCAAGTGGTTTAGAAAAAGCATACTATGAACGTAAAGAGATGGGGAAGAGATAAGAGAAATAGGTAAAAACTATTAACAACAAGATAATCTTGGGAAAGGATTTATGGGTGCTCTCTGAACAATTCTTGCAAATTTTTCACAAGTTTGAAATTATTTCAGAGCAAAAATGTAAAATGCTTATTTTTATATATTTTCGATGAAGGAACAGCCAGGGGCCAGGTACTGTTCCGGATACTGGACACACTGGGGACCAGGACCGTGTCCTGCTTTTTCAGAATAAATGTAGATGAGTGCGGAGTTTGAAGGAAGGACCGTAAGACACTGGAGACACGTACCCAGTGAACACAACCAGACTTGGGGGCTGTAATCTGGATTTTCCTCTCTGCCCGCAACACCAAGGTCCACCAGCTCCTGGCCCAAGGACGCCTGGAGTTTGTCCTCGGAGGCCAGGTCATGCATGATGAGGCCGTGACCCACTTTGATGACCAGATCCTACAGCTCACAGGTTCGATTACCCTTCCCCAGACCCGGGACTCCTTGTCTCCCTCCTTGGGCTGGGCTGGGTGTCTGAGCCCCAGTTCTGGGCTCCATCTTCCCCTCACAGCAGGAGACTGTGACCAGTAAGTGCAGTGATTGGCTGGTGCCATACTCATGCCTGTGCCCTTGGGTGCAGGGCTCAGGGGTGTGGCTTCTAGACAAGATGGCCTGGCTATATCCCAGGTTCTAATTCCCAACCCTGTGACCCTTGGCAAGAGATGGAACTACATAGAGACTCAGGTTTCTCCTCTATAAAGTGAGTTTGATAAGGAGGTAAAACCTGCCTCAAAGGGTTTATATGAAGATAAAATTGAGACAATTATAATGGAGCACACTGAGTACAGTGTATGGTTACCTAGTAAATGCTCAGTGATGTTTAGAGGCTATCCTGCCATCACCCCACCCAGCAAACCCTCCACCAATACCACTGCCTCCAGCACCTCCAGCACCTCACCATGATTACCACCGCCACCATCATCTGCATCACCTCCAGGGACACTACCACCTCCAACAGCACCACCTAGTCTACCAACAACCACCACCACCCCCGTGATTACTAACACCACCATCACCGCCTCAACTTCCACATCCACACCAGCACACCACCACACCACCACCATCACCTCCAACACCACAGCCGCCACCACCTCCATCACCATCATCATCACCTCCAACACATCATTACTACTTCCACCAAAACAAGGACCACCACAGACACCACCACTATCACTGCCATCATCACCTCCAACACCATTGCCGCCGCCACAACCACCACCACTTCAGCCACCATCACACCTCTGCAACCTATCTACCATGTAAACCACATCACCTTCAACATCATCTTCACTACCACTGACAACACCATCACTTTCTGCATCACCTTCACCATCAGCACCACCACCAACTCATCCACTACCATCATCATTAACTCCACCACCAAAAGAGGGACCACCAACATCACCCCTATCAGTTCCATCACCACAACCATCATCTCAACACCACCACCATCACCAACATCAAAACTTCAATGCCAAATCTACCACCATCACCATAACCACCACCACCCACATCACCAGCATCTAAACATTTCATCACCACCTCTACCATCCTCACCGCTATCATCACCACTACCACCGCCATCACCACCACAAACATAATCACCTCCCTCACTTCCGTCACTGCCACCTTCACCACCACTTCATCCATCACCACCACTTCATCCATCACCACCAAAAACCCTACGTAAACATTGCAACCTACTGAAGGTCGATCACTATCACCTCCACCATTACCACTATCAATAGCACCAGCACCAGCACCACCACCAGCACCAACAGTATCATCAACATCTCCTCCTCACCATCACCAGGCACACTTGCACTCAGGGAACATTCCTCTCCATTTCACAAATGTTTTTCATAAGTGGCACTTCACCCACCCGTAAGGCAGGATGGGGAGGTGGCATCATTGTTCTCAGTTCATTTTGCAAAAGGGATACTGAGACTGAGACGAAAAGAAGGGCGAAGGGTCCATGGATGAGCCAGGAGTAACTCTTGAATGTGACTGAAGCTCTAGCCCCCTTGTCACTCCACTGAACAGTAACCCCAGGTAACCCCTGGGTAAAGCATCAAGATAGCATTGGATGTTTTCTAAGGATCTTCTTTACATGCGCTCTCCCTTCACTCCTTTAATCTGTGGTCGCACCCTTATGTGAGTTTCTGCTGCCTTCTTTCTGGATATAAGTGGGAACGTGATGGGAATCTTTAAGTTTCTTTATGTGAAATCCCCAGGCTGCTTAATGCAGCGTCAGGACTCAGCTCCTGGCCTCCTCCCCAGCCTTCTGCCTCCTGAGGCCCCTGATCTGCTTCAACAACAATGCCTCCTGTGCCTTCAGGCACCAGGTCCCTCTTGTTTATACCTGAGCAGCTCATCTCAGACTCAGCTGAAGAGTCTCATGGTCCAGGAACCTTCCATTTGGACCCTCAGGACCCTATCACCTCCCCTCTTCACCCCAAAACTACAGGTCGTGTCTGGCAGTGACTGCAGTCTGATTCTTCTCTGGGCCACTAAGGCTCAGCCCGACTTCTGCCAACGCGAGTGCTGGTGGGCGTGGCAGCGGGGGGTGGGTGCTGTCCTCCTCTGGCTCCGGGTGTCCACAGCGGACACTATCCTGTGACGGGCCTGCTGTCCTGGCTTATTTCAGCCCGAGCTCTGGGCCATGTCCCTCAGACGCCTTCCCCCCAATACTAGTAATGCCCTCTCTCCTTGGTTGTCACCCCGGTTCTACCTCTTGCTTCTTCTCTGTGACTCCTCCCCGGAAGTATGAAACCTTGCCTAACATTCTCCTGGGAAGGAGGGGAGCAGGCCTCCCCAGCTGAGGCAGCGACCACAATTGCTATGTCCCCTTGTCCCTCTGTCACCCCGGCCACTGTACTCTGGCCCCGCCCTCCACTCACTAGCCAAGTAAATCTTGACCTGGTCATTGTGCTCATTAGAACACTGGCTAAACTACTTTGACCGTGACCAAGTGACTGTGATCCAACAAAAGGGACGGTTCTTTGTCTCGTGGGGAAAATTCGGCAAGTGCAGCCTGTTCTGGCCACTGGGTGGCTCTGCTCCACAGAGCGATCCAAGCGTCCAAGCTGCTTCCCTTCGCTCTGCCATCTCACAGTGCGTCTCGCCCTCCTTGCGTGACTGAAGGTCGCTCGCCCCAGTGAAACGTCATCCCAGCAGGAAATGGGGAAAGAACGGTGGGAAGACAGCAGGCTGCATCTTTCCAAAGGTGACCCAGAAATTACACTCATCATTTGTGCTCACATCCATGGCCCAGAACCTAAGTACTTGGTATATTTTCCAAGAAAGGCTGGGAACACAGTCTCTAGCTAGAAGCTTATTATCCTGCCAAAATTATAGGGAGTGTCTGGTTCTGTTACTAAAAGGCAAGGGGAGAATGTATCTTGGGGGACAGTGGGCTGTTTCATTCATTAATCACCTGTTCATTTGGGTCTCAGGGATAATTTCTCCTGGGGTCCAGAAAACCTGAGAACAGTGACTTGAGTCTCTAGGATATTTACTATTTACTTACAAAGAAGGGAAATGGTTTGTGGACTGATGCTGCAGCCCACTGATGTTTCTCACATCCTCATATCCTCTCCCGTGTGATCACAGAACAGCTGCCACAGCTCCGGTCAGCATGAACCTATTCTTTCACAGTCAAAGAAGGAAAAGGGCAGAATGTGGGCTTTCTTACTGACCTCGTCTTATTTAAGGTGGGAAATATTGCCCTGAAACCCAAGCAGCCTTAACCCACACATCTGTTTTGTCTGTAACCATGCTCCATGACCACATCTAGTTTCCACAAAGACTGAGAGCAATATTCTGGCAGAGGGAAATGAGCTTGCCATGACCACTAAGACCAGAGACAGTTCATCCCTTGGGCCTAGGTCAGCGTCCCCTGAGCAAAATGAAGATTCTGTGAGTGAGGAATTCGGGGTCACTGAGTCAGCAGCCATCACGACTGCCCTCCTCTCGCCGCACATCTGCTGAGGGTGTGCCCTGCACAGCTAACTGACCGCCTCAGTGTGACCTATTGACCATCCCCTCCCTCATCTCAGAGCCCTGACCCCAGTTCCTCCCCCTTCTCTCCAGCAGCTCCTTCTTGGTCTCCTCTGCTTCCCGCACTCCCTCTGCTGCTCCCACTGGTCCCCAAGGGCTCGGAGCCCCACCCCAAGTCCAGCTGGCTGGTTCACCTTCCTCGCCTCCTCTGTGAACCAGACCCCGAATCAGCCTCAGGCCCACCCTGACCACCCAGCAGTCGCCTCATTTCTCGCTGAAACTTGTTCATAGACCTGAGCATGTCTCTGTCCCAGAACCATGGAATCTTCTAGGTCCCAGCTGGCGTCCCAGCCTGGGGAGATCATCAGTGGAAGGTAGTTTCAATTGACACCAGCTACTTGTGCTCTCTGAGTCTGTTTTCTCTCCTGAAAATGCAGGCGGTTGTCACCAGCTCTTGGGCCATTCAGAAGATTATATCTGGGGAAAGACTGGCGAACGAACTTTAATCCGTGGCTTATCTAGTCCAGGGCTTTCTCTCTGCAGCCATGTCCCTGACATCTCGCTCCTTGCTGTGGCTCGTTAATCATGAATGAATGAGTGAAAGGTCGGACTATTCTGGGATGGAGCCCCTGTATTAGCACCTACTGCAGCAAGACCCTGCTTGGCCTGGAAGAGGGCACTGCAGCCCTGTAGAAGGGCAGGGGGACCCTGGGGGAGTCAGGGGGTGAGGGGCCACACTCCTGTCACCAGCGAGGCTTATCTCTTTGCAGAAGGACACGGGTTTCTCTACGAAACATTTGGGGTCCGGCCTAGGTTCTCCTGGCAGGTCGACCCATTTGGAGCATCTGCCACGACCCCCACCCTATTTGCCCTGGCGGGCTTCAACGCCCACGTCATCTCCCGGATCGACTATGACCTGAAGGAGGCCATGCAGCAGGACCAGGTGAGTGGTGCCCCACATCTGCTGCTGCCAGCTCACCCCTGCTTCGCCCCTACTTTGTCCAGTGCATCTCAGAGCCCCTGCCCTTCTCCAGAGCACCTGGGATACTTGGGGGCCCTTATGCCACGGGATGTCCCAGGCCCATCATTGCTCTGCTGTGCCCTGCGCCGTGTGTGACTCTTCCCCTCCTGCGTGGCTGGACCTGGCTGAGCTGCAGACCCGGCTTGGAGTCTCCTGCTCTATGTCCCCTTCACCCTCCAGCCTTGAGGCGCCGAAGGGACCAGAGCAGACCTGCTCTCAGTAAACCGTGCTGGGTGCAGAGAGGAGGAGGGCGGGGCTCAGGGCACCTGGGACACGGCCACTCTTTGGGGGCGAGCGCAGCTGTTAGGGACTAGATGGTGACACCAAACACCCACAGCAGACGCTGCCTTCCCCCCACCAAGTGCTGGGCCTGGTGGGAGCCGCTGGGCTCCTGGTGTCCTTTAGTCCTGCCAGCACCCCTGGGACATGGTGTATTCGTTTCCTGCCGCAAACTGGGGGCTTCGAGCAGCAGAAACGTGCTGCTCACAGGTCTGGAGGCCAGAAACCCGAGATCAGCCCGGGACGGGGCCATGCACCTCCTGAGGGTGTTCGGGAAGGGGGGTCTGGGCCTCTGTCTGCTTCTGGTGGCCTCAGGTGGCCTTGGCCTGGAGACTGCCGACGTCCCCCGTGTCCTGTCATCACCTTCCCCTGTGCTGTCTGGGTCCAACATTCTCCTTTAATGGGGACCCCAGTCATACGGGACCAGAGCCCACACTAAGGCCCCCATTTTACCTCAGTTACCTCTCTAAAGACTTCATTTTAAAATGAGGTCACATGAGGTGGGAGTTAGGACTTCAGCGTGCCATTCGCCCATAATCAACTTGCTGTAATTATCCTATTTTCCAGATGGGAAAATAAGACCCCAACATATGAATTCTGTCCGGGTCACCCTGGTAGTGAGTTTCTGGGGAGCAAAGGTAGCCTGGCCAGCAGGCGTTAGCAAAAGGGGCCTGGGCTCTAGGTGAGCAAGGGAAGCAAACTTCTCTGTGTGCCCCCCGAGCGCCACGCTGAACGCGCCCTCGCTCCCAGCGGCAGCGCGCCTCCCCTGCGGGGAACCCTGTGAGCTCGTGTGGCTCCCCCAGGGTTCACGTGCAGAGACCAAGTCACAGAGGAGTCGGGGACCCGTGTGTGGAGCCGGAGCTGGTGCTCACAGAAGCAGGATTTGATCCCTGCTTTGTAAGCCTAGCACTTTCTAACCATCAGAACCTGAACAACGGACTGTACTCCTAGAGAGAGGTGATGAGCACCCCGTGTCAGGGGGGATTCAAGCAGAGGTAGAGAGAGCATGGCTGGCAGGCCCTGGCAGAGAGCCCTGCCCTGAGGAGGGGTGGGGAGAGCAGGCTGTCACCTTCTGGAGGGCAAATTCCTGGGCCCGCTGTGGCTCTGTGAGGTCGGGGGCACCTGGATGAGGAGGCAGCCGAGGGAGACCTTGTCCGTGAACCACTGAGAGGGGAGCAGGGGGCGGGCAGCCAGAGACGCAGCAGGCACTGGGGAGGGGGAGCGGGGCAGCGGGGTGGCCCCTTGGCCCTCACTCTGCTCCCTCTGGGTTTGCAGGCGCTGCAGTTCGTGTGGCGGGGGTCCCCGTCCCTGTCGGCACAGCAGGAAATCTTCACACACGTCCTGGACACACACGGCTACTGCTCGTGAGCACCTGCCTTGGGCCAGGCCCTGTCCCAAGCTCTCCCCCTGCGTCCCCTCCGCCATGTCTCTCACGGCCACCCCTGAGGGAGGCACGCTGGGCGCCCATCTTACAGAAAGGGCAACTGAGGCCTAGACCCCCAGCCCCAGTCCCGGGGTGGCAGCTGCGGGGCAGCAGCGCTGGGCTCGGGGACAGCTCCAAGCCCCATGTCAGGGGGGCAGCCCTCCTGGGGGCTGTCCGGCTGGAGGGCCCTGGGTCAGTCCCACTCTGCCCCTTTGTACCTGTGAGGCCACGGACAGCGGGACCCCCTCCGTGAATGGGGGAGGCTGGCAGGCGGGGTGAAGGGGCAGCGGAGAGAAGCGGCCGGGACGCACGTCCGGGTCTGCCTGTCGGGCCCCGCTCTGCGCCAGGCACTGTTTCTCCCTGTTTTCCTTCAGTGATTTTTCGTTTACTCCTCCTAACATTCTTCAGTACATTTTACCATCATGAGACTAGGGTTCAGGGAGGTTCAAAGTCAGGTTCGAAGGTTCAGGTCACTCCTGAAGGCTGGCCAAGGGTCCCTCCGTGTCACCCGTATGCTGCCCGGCATGAGGCACCGAAGACCCGACCTGGGGCTGCCCAGACCCCCGCGGCTCATTGCTGGGGTCCGTGCCTCCTGAGCCGTGGTGAAGCCTGAGGATTGTCTGTCTTTATGTGAAAATTTGATCTTATGTTTGTCATGACGTTTTTGGCATTTCGTCTGGTTTTTAAAATATTGTTAAAATACCAGCATGTTGACAACTGAGATTTTTGCACCCCTGAAAGTTTGTGCCCAAGGCCAGTGCCTGCCCCGCCTCACCCTCACCCAGCCCTGCTTAGGATCCCTGGATCTGGATCTGGTGGGCAGGGAGGTGACAAGGAAGTAGTGATCAAAAGAATCCCACCATCCCCGTGGTGAACGCGGGAAGGGGGCCCACTGTGGTGGGCTCCACACGATGGATGACGAAATGCTGGCCCCGTGGGTGACGTGCCCAAGGTCACAATGGTGAAAGGGTAAAACGTGGCACCTTCTGTGCCCAAAGCCCTCATCTGCCCAGCACTGTTCTGCCCACTGCACTGATGGGAGAGGAGGCTCTGAGTGAGGGTCCACAGGCTCAAGGTACACTGTGGCCTCCCTGAGCCCTGCCTGTCCTCCCGGACCCCAGGAGACCCCCCTTGCCAGGGCAAGAACCCCCCTAAAATTCCTCTCTCTCTCAGTAAAGGGTTTTACTGGGACGGAGAAGCTGTCTTCCCAGACCCTCCCAAGGATGGAATGTACCCCTCGAAGGACACGCCTGTCACTAAGACCAACATTGAATCCTACGCTATGGACATGTTGAACAACATATTTGAACGGGCCGCCTGGTTCCGGACACCGCACGTCCTCTGGCCCTGGGTAAGGTGTGGTCCCGGGGCCTTGTTCTGCAACTCTGCACGGGGACAGCTGTGATGGGTCCCACCCTGCACCTAGGACCACCCTAGACTCGGGTCCAGCTCTAACCAGGCCAGGCTCCGTCCAGGCAGCGGGTCAGGCAGCCATCCTAGCCCCGGCACAGTCCTCCTTCCCTGCAACCCCGAGCCCTCACCCCGCTACCAGCCCCTTTCTCTCCCTGGATCACCCCCACTCTCCCACCTGACATGCAGCCTCACCCAAGCTGGCCTCCAGGTTCTAATCAGCTCTCGCCTGCTTTTCCCTTCACAATGCTGGGAGCAGAGGCCTGGGCCCGAATCCTGGCTCCCTGCTCAATAGCTGTGAGACTTAGAACCTCTGAGCCTCCGTTTCCTCATCTGTAAAAAGGGGATGATGACACGACCCGCTTCATGGGCTTGATTGGAATCAGGTGGGAGAGGCAACCGCGGGGGACAGTGCCTGACACCAAGTCATCATTGTCGTCATAGTGAAGG